GAGGGGAGCAGAATCAGACGGGGTCATGAATTTTCAAAATGAAAAATTTCAAATCAAAAGACAAATGCTATCATGAAACAGGATGTGTAATGGTATGTAATCTACGAATATTCAAATTCTACTTTCGTTTGCACTGAGACGAGTGTTGGTCTTGCAAACTCAGTCTTGGTCATGGTCTTGGTCCTGCGCGAGTCTCGCAACAGTGTTACAGTTATTTATTACCTTATGACTATAGAGATATTACTGTGACCTTAGCAGAGTGCAAGACCAAGACCGATTTTTGGCAATACTAATTAGGATACAAGGAACATGGGTAACATGTCAAATAAATACATTCTTCATCGCCGTCAACTGTTCGCCGTTTCCTTATGAGACAATTAAACATATTAATGGTAAATTTAATAAAGTTTAAAATTTAAAGGTCTATACCAATTGTATACATATGCTCATTTTCCTCATAGAAGAAAATATTAAGTTTTAAGCAGCCCAAACAAGATTAAGACTAGCCAGAAATATTTTTTAAATTATTTTCTTCTACGGTTTTCCTTTTCTCTAAAATTAATACAGCAGAATTATCGTCGACGAAAATACCTGAATACCTGAAGTATTAAATTTCTAAGTTATTAGACATTCTTTATGTTCCTCCATGTTCAAAAATGTTGTCTCCATGTCTTCCTATGCCCACGATCTCGAGTTCATGGGGATTACTTACAGGTACCTGCTACTGCAGGTAATTATTTATTCTGTTACATCAACTCGTTAGACACTCCTAGGCCACACTCAGACTCCATAGAGTGCCTACTTTAAGTAGAATAAATAATTAAGGAGGAAAACCTAGCGGTTGAGCGAAATATCGTCACAATCACCTCTCTCCTACACATCCGTTGCCTTCAAACATACTTACAAAATAATGAGCCCAAGACCCTTCAAGGGTTGTAGTGCTACATTTAAAACATTCAATAAATAATTTAAGAGTTGATAAGATCACAGAATATAGTAAAAAAATACTATTTTCATCGCCTTAAAATAAAAATAATATTTCATTTTATAATGACATCAACTGGCCAAAACTTTTCTTCAGGTTAAGTTTATAAATAAATTGTGTCATAAACTTAAAAGAAGGAGGGTTCTATTCCGATCGTTATGTCCTGAAATATTTCAATAAAAATGATAGTGGATTTCTTTTTTTCAATTTTACGAACAATTAATCAACTTTAAAAAAAAGTATATATCAACCGAGATAATGAAAGGTTATAGACAATTTCTTCATATCTTATTGCTTAATTAAAAATAATTTGTCATCCCATGTTATATATTATCGCTAGAACGTTTTGCTTGGGATCACGCCTGCTACGAGTGGATCGATACAATCTGGAATTTCGCAGACTAAACCCGTGACGTCACGGGACGCAGACCAGCAGGCCGACATGTGCCGGGACCCATGTCACAGATGTACTCTGCAGGTCAAATTAAGTGTTTGTAAGCTGACGACATGTTTGCGGCGAGTACACATCTCCGCCAGATAACGCTTGTTGTAACCTGTTATGATTTATGCCTAACTAGATGATGGATGGCTCTACATGTCATGACAACAGTCACAATTGTTGCCTTGGATTAACGGATTTTCAGTAATTGTTAACGTGTCGAGTTTCTGATTTATTTTCTAAATATTGATAAACATGATGATTAAATAATTATGAGGTAATCATTTATAGTACTAATCAGTCATCCAATTCAATCTTAAGTTGTTGAATATTAAAGAAAATCATAAGACTTAAGGTCCGATACCGGCATTGCAACTAAAAGATGCCTTATAAACCTTTCACCGATTCTAGGCGAAATCTAACAAAACATTTATAACCTTACGCTTCTAGAAAATTTTAGGTTACTTTCTTTAGTGATTCGCTCTCCAATCTCTATAACAAAATTATAAGCTCAATAAAATCATGTACATAAGATTCAGAGAGTTAAAGTCATATGATTCAGGATTTTATAGGATTTCCAGGCCACTTAGTTTTTTCCAAGACAAATTAAAACTTTTCCAAAGTATATTCATCCTTGTACATTTCAATTCAACTTTCAATTTATTTTTATTTTTAGGAAAAAATCTATCCTAGAAAAACTAGGATGAATCAAATCTTAAAATCGACAATATTAAAAAAAACTTCTATGAGAGCATAAGAATTGGCTCTTCCCCTAAAAATTAAAAAAAAATATATAGTTAAATTTAAAAAAAATATTTCAGCTAAAAAAACCTGACTACAAAATTGGAAAATTCTATTCACGCTAAGGGAATGTACTTTCATATATACCAAGTCCTGTCATAAATATTGTTAAAAGGAAATATAGGCAGATTTCAACAGAAAAATTATTTTTTTCAAAAACTTTATTATAAAATAAAATGTATATCTATAGAGAGTAAAAAAAAAAAAGAAATTACCCAAAATGTTTCCCATTTGCCTTGACAGGCATTTAATCTCCATGGCCATTCATCAATAGCAGTACGCAGCACTTCTTGAGAAAGCGCTCAACTGTTCGGACCAGAGATTGTTTGGGGCTTCCAAGTTAGGGTGTGCTCTTATTAGTATGCCATCCTCTTTAGTTCGGACCGAAGGCGATAATCTAGTGCTATGAGATCAGGGCTTTCTGAGGACCAATCCGAGGCAGAGATGAACTCTGGAATGATCTCTTGCAGCCACAGCTGAGTTCCTGCTGGAAAACCTAATGACTTCCAGAGCAAACAGAGTCCCATTTAGAGGCTTGTCAACAAGTTTCAAAATATCGTCCTGATAGTTTTTAGCGGCTGATTTAACTCCTTTTTCACAAAAATGGAATTTTGTGCTGCCGTCAAAGCAAACACCCTACCAAATCATCACTGAGGAAAGGTGATGACCTCTTTCCACTCTTCCAATGACTTCCTGGGATTCTTTAAAGCTCTGTGCGTACACACGATCATTTTGGCGATTAAATTGTTCTGCAATTGTAAACGTTTTCTCATCGCTAAACAAAATCCCCCCTTGGTGTAACGGCCAAGGAGCACTTGGATCTATCCACTCTAACTTTTTTAGGGAAGTGATTAGTCTCTGTCCAGTCATTCTTCGAAATGCACCCATCTTAAGGTCACTTTTTACTATGCGAGACGTTGATCTGACAGATATTCCCATTTCCCGAGACATGATTTGTTGTTTTCGAATGGGATTTCATCTGATTCGAACAGCCACTGCTCTCTCTGCATTTGCCGTTCTAACAATGCAGACCCGGTCGAGGTCTGTCACATACAGATAGGGCCTCTTGTATCTATTTATACATAGTGTAATATTTGAATGCCTATCAGCATTTTACTAGCCGTTTAGTACTACAAATCGTTCCTAAGCACTCATGGGATCTCATGGAATAATTTCAGCCATCAAACTTAAAAATCGATTCGGCCTTTCGCTAAAAAAACCTCTAAATATTTGCACTTTTATCGGTTTTCTCATTTTAACCATGAAGAAGCACGTTTCCGACAAAAAAATCTTATACATTTTTAAACTGAATTAAATTTAATAAAGTTTGAGATCAGAATAGACTTACAGATGCCAACAGTTAACGACCACATACGAACATACTACAAAAGATTTTATAATAACTTACAGGGACACACCAACTCATTGATTCGAGGCATGGCCACAACTAACATGCCCGATAGCTCCCGAAGGAGGCTTAAAAGAAGCTGGATGAGGGATCTCCTCCGCTAACTATAAATATTACACTCAAGACAGGAAGGAAACCGCTGGGTCCTGTCTCTCACACCTATTCCAAGATCAATTAATCTTCTACATCTATACATCACACTCGCTGATTGTCGAAACTTCTGACAAGTGTGAGTTGAAGAATAAAAAAAAAATATATAAAAAAAAAAAAAGAAAATCGAAGAGGTAGAAAATAGGCTCAGTAAACCTAATAGATTTCGAACTACAGGTTTCCAAAATTAGGCAAATTTTCCAAATTTGGAAATTTTGAGCTATAACAATTTTCGTCTTTCATCATACGCAATTGTCTTTATATCTATTGGAGTATTTTAGTAAGAAATAATACGAAAGTAACATTGATGTAGATCGTGAACCATTTCACAGTAATATGAAATTTTATCAATGATCGATTGGTAATTTAAAAACGCCAATAAGACGGGAATGTTTATAAGAAACAATGCAACATCTATAAAGTTTGACCAGCTATATCAAAATCAGGTACGATAACGTTTCGAGATAAGTTCTAATCAGAGATTATTTGGCCATAAAAAAAATAATAAATAACATTTACTATCATAAAGTACATCAAAAACTCTTTAAAATAATACAATCAATTTCCAATGTGAACATAGGTTAAGGAAGAAATAAAAATTACTGATAAATTTATTAGTCGATAAAAGCCATAAGGATAAAAATGTAATATTTTAGATTAAAAAAGGAACTAAACACGTGATTCTATATCTTTAGCAATTAGTTTACAATTTAACAAATTAAGATAAAAATCCCCCTTCCCAATTGTAACTGGTTCTAATTAAAGTTATTTTTAATTATAAATAGCGATATTTATTCAATAATTCTTTTCGTTTTTTATGTAATTTATAAATATAAATTCTAACATAATTTATTTACGTCAGACGTTTAATTCAGACGTTTAACATTAAGTAGTATTCTATTTTTAGCAAAAGCCTAAGATATATTTTGAATAATCAATTAGACCTTACAGTTAAGTTTTTAACATTATATAACTTCAAAAAGAAAAATATATCATGAAATATGAAGATAATAATTGATATTTTAATATTTTGTTGTGGAAATATATTATAAATATATTATAATTATATTATAATTAAATATAATATTTAATATATTAATTATAATTATATTTATAATTAAAATATATATTATATTAAAATATATTTATAATTAAAAATATAATATTTATAATTAAAAATATAATTAAAAAGAAATATAAAATAGATAAACACTTACGATCCCGTTTCGTCCCTCACGAAGAAGCCTCCAGGACCAACTGCTTTGGAGTTACCAGCATAAAAGTAAGCAGCTGAAAATCAAATGAATAATTTAAAAAATATATATATTGGTAAATAAATTAAAATAATGCTAATTATTTTTTAAAAATTAAAACTTAATTTTTACGGAATTATTTTAGAGGAACAAAAAGATCTAATGTTTAAAAATAATTTATCAGAAGAAACAATTAGTTTCACAAACTAAAATAGCAACATAAATATAATTTTATATCCTTCAGCTTTAATAGATTTTAAGGCTTTCCGATTGTCAATCTCAACCCAAGAAATGATTTGACAATGACCCTTTGAGTTAAGAGCATGTATGAAGTTACGTTATAGTAACATGTTACGATTTAAAAACAACCAAAAATAGTGTGGTTTATCAACATACCTAATTAAAAAAAATAGCTAAAGTTGCTAATTAAGTCCCTTTTACTTGTATTATTTATTATCTTATAGTGGGTATTACGCCGCTATTGAAGATCCTAAAATTTTGGTGACTGCAGTTCACTGCAATGAAAATTGGAAAATTTCTTTATATTTGTCTCTAAAACAACAGGTAAGTAAATTCTTGATAATGTATTCTATCAATTAGAGCCTGAAATGACCAAATGGGAACCCAAAGGACTTTAGATTCTAATTTAAATTAAATTAATTTTATTTATTTATTTTTTAATGAACCAGATTCATTCCAAACAGTAAAAAGCTATGCTATAATAAATCTTCTTCCGATCAATTTTGTGCGTGATAAAGAGTTTTAGGAAAAAACTTTTAGAAAGAGGTTAACATTTCATTAAAGGAGTGCCCATACTCTCCATACTTCCTATATCCTACGTCCTAAAATTTTGTTGCTTTCCTCTTCTTAAAAACGATGCAGTATATTTTATTTGTTCCGTGCTTTTCCCTTTTTTCTTGGTTTGAATGTTCATCCATATTGAACAACTGAAAAATATAAGCTCCTCCGAAAATTCATAATGTTGTAAAAATGTGCCCTTCTCAAATGTTTTGGTAAATTCGCCCGTTCTGGAAAATATTCTATATTGCTTACTCCTATACTGCTTTAAGTTTTGAAAATCATAAAATTCATAAATTATAAAATAGTGCTGTTCTTACTGGTTTCAAACTCATTCTTAATTCCATCCTTTCTTATGATCCTTGCTTTCTGACCTGTTCAATGTATATTTTTAAACTAAATTTTAATTTCTAAATCGTACGAAAACCCAATTTAATACTTTAAAAATGCAACGGAATTCAATCAAATACCCTCGATGACTTTATTTTTCATAGGTTCTAGAAATAATTTAGCTGTTACAGCGACATATGTTGGCTTTATTTAATAACTTTGGAAGCTATCAGCTTGGTCTCTAAGAACCCTACCGGACTTTAATAGGGGAAATCGTGCTAAGATGACGAACGAGGAAAAACGACTAATAAAGTATTTCTCACTATCAATCACAGATAGCAGCACGTTCTAGCAAGCATATTGGTTGGTAATGTAAGTTACTAGTATGAACAGAGTCTATGTTAATGTTGAGTTGAATTGTGACCAAAAGTTCAGATACAGAGCACCTTGAAGCACAGGGTGAAGCTCCCCTCCCAAAATGGTGAAAATAAAAAAAAAATATCTTTAATAAAATATAAAATATAAATAAAATATATCTTTTTCGTGTAATAACATTAATTAGGACTTCAAGAATCACTTAAACACCATTTCGTAAAGGTAGTTAGTATCTTTCTTTTTTCTCCCAAAGTAATGTTCGTTATATATATGAAAAAAAAGAGCTGAAGTCCTCTCCCCCTCCCAAAAAAAAAAAACTTTAAATCCTGGATCCGCTAGTGCCTTGACATAATTTTGGAGTCTCAAAGGAGTCTAAGGTAGGTTTTCATCTTTCCCTCTAAAATATTCCAATTGGACAACTCCAAATCATCTAACTCATTTCAGTCTGGATTTTGAAAAGGATAGATTCCTGCATCATATGCTCGGTGGAAGGCAAGGAGGAGCTGTATTACCAGCGATGCAAGTGCATCAAGTAGGCTCCTTCCGAGTCGCAGGGTCTATAAATGAGATTTCTGTATTTAAATATATTTTACTTTTTGTATATTTTATACTTTGTGTTGTTATACAATTTATTATGTTTAATCTAAGTGTTTGATCTAATTTCTTCTATTGTTATGATGTTTTGGAAACCGCGGAAATCCCAAACCATTCGTCATCTTACACAATAAAACCCCATGATTCTAAACTCTTGAAGACAAAAGAGGCAATTGAAAAAAAAATCTGGTATTAGGTATCAAATTGTAGAAATTCTCGTAAAATTTTCAGTTCTTAAATCCATCCACAGTGGCCTGGAAAAATTGCAAACAAAACCTTGACTTCGTCATCTTACCATACCTTCCCCTGTTTCGCATTTGTACACCCATTTCTTATTTCATTATTTAGTTTAGCTTTATTTCAATTCTTGTTCACTTCTATCGTTGATGCTATATTTTTCCCTTCTTTTAAATATTCATCCCATCATAACAATATATGTAGATTCCTAGTGGGGTTCTGATTGGACATCGTTATAGCTAGTCAGATATACCATTGATTTGTTTAAACTGTAATTATTAGGGAAATAGATTCTATTCAAATTAGAAAACCACACAAAAACGAAAGTGTGTCAGACCAGATTACAATACCTCGATTACAAAGTTATATTAAAACAAATATCAGTATTTTTACCACATAGTTTAAATCACTCTGAAGAAAACAAAACATAATATTAATTTCTATAGATACCACAGACAACCATCAAAGAAGTTTAGAAGTCCTCTCATGGCTCTTCCAACAATTATTATTCATACTCTCTAGTTTTTAATAGAAAGGTTAATAAAAGAAGACCTTCGGAACTCTTTAACCATCAGGCAAAGGATATTTCGTTTTTTTTTATCGGAATGCTGTTATCGTATGGCACGAATCTTGATAGTCCTTTTCTCCTTGTATTCCTTCCTCTCACTTTCGATCCTTACAAGATTTCCATACAATGAACTCCTGCGCCTTCCCAAGGTCGGTCTTTCTCCCGCGCCTCGCCTTGGACCTCGTGCACCTCCTTCCTCACTGGAAGACGCTCTGGACAGATCCTGAAGAGCGAGGAAGTGAAAGCTCCTCGGACCGGTCGCAGAACTAGAGCAAGTAATGATATGCACGGTGTCCGTTATATCTACTGCCCTCGATCCTTGTTTACATCGATAGCCCAAGATCGAATATCGATCGTTTCCGACTAGAGATGGCTGAGGCTCACTCAGTCCTACTTGTTCCTTTCACGATGCTCGACTTGGATCGCGTCCAGCCTGAATCAACCTACATCGAAATGAAATAAAACATAAACTATCTTCTTCTGTCCCGTTGATTTTTTTTTGCTCTGTACTGAAGTGTATTTAAAAAAACAACAGAGTTAAGTGCATAGCTGATCTGGAAAATAGTCAATCTGCTTCATTGTTGAGAGTTATACCTGCATTGTCCACCCAGTACTGTGTCATCGTGGCCAATCACTTAATCTCCAAACCACAGGCGGATCTACGGGAGGGGGAGACTTTCAGACTGAAGCCCCTCCCCCAAAAAAAATGGTATAATATTACCATGTTTTACAGAAACAAATATTAAAAACTATCTCCTAAAGTATTCTTGTTCGTGTAATTACATTTAATAGGACTTCATGAACCACTTAAACACCATTTCATACAGGTAGTTAATTTCTTTTTTTTTCTAATTAATTATTGTTATATGTATATGAAAAAAAATCTTTCGGGCTGAAGCCCATCCCCCAAAATTAAATCCTGGAACCGCTAGTGCTCTAAACAAATGTTAACTGGGATTTGGAGGTAAAGGTATACAAGCCACAGTTAGACAAATTTGATCCCAATGACAAAAATACGCTACCTTTTAAATAATGATTTATTCATTGATCCAACTTAATGTGGTTTTATTCCTTCATATTTCACTGTTTCTAATTCATAATTTAAGGAATCCATTTTACATTTCAACCCTGACCTGGGAAATATCTCAAACGAAAGATAAGTTAAAATACAATAATTTTCTTTATTTTGTTTCTTACATAAACCAAAGCTGGTGGTTCCTTAACATAAAATAATACAATAATATATTTAATTAAGTATTTGATACACTTCTTTTGTAAACAACTTATAGACTTTGCAATCAAAATACATTGTATTATAAAAACAAAATCCCTATTTCATATTTCAAATATTGTATTTTAAAATAACAATTAAAAACTCTTTTCCTGATCTATTTAAATTTAACAGATCCAATTGTCCGTGACCCAGACCCCTTTTTCATCGAATTATTAACATCCGCCGAAAACTTCGTAAATAGCTTTATCTTATCGTAACCTACAACTATTTTATTTACGAAAACTCGCGGAATTGGGGCGTTTTAAATCTGGAGAGGGGCAAACTTCGTCTACTTAATCAGGTAAAAAAACTCGCCAATACCCATTTGCTTTCTACTTGAATCGTAAGATAATTTGATCACAAAATCGAGAAAAAAAGTTGTCTTCAAAAATATTGAGCTGTTTGGCGTGACCTACGCCCCCCAACATCTTTTTGGTAGATTTTGTGATCAAATTATGTTGCGATCCAAGTAGAAAGGATATGGGTATTCGCGATTTTTTAGTACTTAATTAAACATACAAAGTTTTCCCCCCTCCAGATTGAAAACGCTCCAATTCCAAGAGTTTTAGTAAATAAAATAGTTTTGGTTCAAGATGAGATTTATTAAATTTCAGGCGGATATTAATAATTCGATAAAAAGGGGTCTGTACCACGTTGTCTGGGAAGCATTGCTTAAACTTGATTAGTTAATTAGCTGTCCCATTGGCTATTTGGAAAATGTCCACTTTTGAAACGAACTAACAATACATGAGTTTTTTAAATGAACATTTAACTTCCCACCAGTTAAAAGAACGAGAAAAATGCAATTAGAATCAACTCAGTTAGGTGACAGATTTTCACCTATGATATACCGTCACTAATATGTAGTTTCGGTTTGAATGAACCAAATTTCTAATGTAATATTTCTTCCCTTCACATTTAGGTCCAGACATTTTATATAAAAAAATAAATGTATAGTCTTGGAAAGAAGAATGGATGCCTAGAACTAAAAGTGAAATGTTTACAGTAGCTCACCTGGACCCTCGCCATCGTAGGTGAAGTCCCTGATGTGCAGCGTCCTGGCGTCGACAGCGTAGACATCGCCGCTGACGGAGTGCAGCAGCCTCGACAGTGGGCCGATGTAGCGGCCATAATAGGGCACTGCGGCTTCACAGCCTGTCAACAGGAAGCGAGTCAGCTTAATATTTATAAATAATTAAATAATATAAACCAATAACACAAACTGCATATCCAAGGTTAAAGTCACAGATAAATACAATAACTTTTATTATGAAAAAAAAAAAAATTAAGAATTAATAACAAGAAAATTTGACTTTTAATGCTATTAAAAGAGAGATACCGATAAGAAAGATTAGAAGAGATACCACTGGATATTTTTCTTACTCATGCCATTATTTATTGCTAATTTTGCCAGTCTGATTTTCAATGATGTATTAGACATGTATGGATGTAAAAAAAATAAATAAAAAAATTTAACTTCATCCTATAATATCTTATTTATTAATTTTCTTTGGTTCTGCTTATACAGTATTTGTATTTGATATCCACTTAAAATATTTTTGGAAACCTATGCTACATCCGTGACATTAACCATAGATATGCTTTTATTAAATATTATCATGAGTAAAATTAAATAAAAATTAAAAAGGTTATAATTGTACCTGAAAACTTATTAGATTATGAAAATATAGAGAAATATTTATAGATACTATTTAAAAATAATAATAATAATAAATATGAGAAGGAGTTAATCGGGGGGGGGGGTGCGGTCAAATAAATACTAAATTAAAATATATTAATTACTTGTTTTTAAATTATTTATATATTAATTAATATATTTTAATTTAGTATTTATTTGACCGCACCCCCCGATTAACTCCTTCTCATATTATTTCAACTGTCAACCATCTCTACACCAATAATAATAAATATTTTTTTTAAGTGAATGTAACCGTTGTACATGTCAACTGTAAAAGAAAACATCCGGACACCGGACCAAAATGCAAAACAGGAATCGAGTTAGCTTAATATTTATAAATAATTAAATAATATAAACCAATAACACAAACTGCATATCCGAGGTTAAAGTCACAGATAAATGCAATAACTTTTATTATGAAAAAAAAAATTAAGAATTAATAAGAAGAAAATTTTACTTTTAATGCTATTAAAAAGAGAGATACCGATAAGAAAGATTAGAAGAGATACCACTGGATATTTTTCTTACCCATGCCATTATTTATTGCAAATTTTGTCAGCCTGATTTTCAATGATGTATTAGACATGTATGGATGTAAAAAAAATAAATAAAAAAATTTAACTTCATCCTATAATATCTTATTTATTAATTTTCTTTGGTTCTTTTTATACAGTATTTGTATTTGATATCCACTTAAAATATTTGTGGAAACCTATGTTACATCCATGACATTAACTTTCGATATGCTTTTATTAAATAATTATCATAAGTAAAATTAAATAAAAATTAAGAATGTTATAATTGTACCTGAAAACTATTTAAAAATAATAATAATAATAAATATGAGAAGGAGTTAATCGGGGGGTGCGGTCAAATAAATACTAAATTAAAATATAATAATTACCTTTTTTAATTTTTTATATATCAATTAATATATTTTAATTTAGTATTTATTTGACCGCACCCCCCGATAATAATAAATATTTTTTTAAGTGAATGTAACCGTTGTTCATGTCAACTGTAAAAGAAAACATCCGGACACCGGACCAAAATGCAAAAACATTTTTTTTTCATTGGTCCACGTTTGTTTCTATGAGTGATTGCATCTAAATACTTAAATAATTAAAATGTATATATTTATTTTTTTAAATTATAACGTGTGCTTCAGCTATAAAAAGTAAGCTACGTGTCAAGAAAAAAAATATCGAAAATTTATCTCTAAACGAATTATTGTTCCATTAGACTGTATTTATTTTACACTGTTTTATATTCTTTGAAGTTAAGGATTTTTACTGTCTCAATAGCCTGTAAGGTGGTATCTGATAAAGAAGAATCCTGTTCTCTGAAAATATAATATGAGACGAAGAACACGAACACTGTTCCAATATTTTTTAAATAGAAACAGTAAGAAAAATCTGGTGCGCGCAACACATAACTTTCACTTACCGCTCTACTTGGAATAGAAATTGTTTTCAGGCAATGCTGGGCTATTACAAAATGTTTGAAGTGCATTTTAAACGGAGCTAAAGCTTAAAGCTATGATACACAATTATAACAATGATACACCGAGTTTAATCAAAATCGTTAGAGCCGTTTTTGAGAAAATTGTAAAAATGTGTTTCAGCGTTGATATAAAGTGGCACTTCCGGTTAGCCGATTTTAACTAAAAAAGTTGCTGTCACATCCAAGACATATACCTATCTTAAATACGTAATATCAGTTTGTAATATCAGACTTTTCGTCTTTGAGCTAGACTGCTAACACACACACACACAGACACACAGACCATTTTTCGGGACTTTGTCATTTCGACTCAGGGTACCTCAAAACGTGTATTTCCATTGAAAACTCAAGATCATAAGATAAAATAAATTTTTTTTGTTCTTTTTGAAAGACCTTCGAGGAATACATAAAAATTATTTTATTTATTTTTTCTAGTTTCTTTTTCTTCTAGATTAATATCCTTAATAAAAAAAGAAAACAAGAATAACAAGTCCCACCCAAAATTATTTCGGGTTTCGCCACTGCATCTGAACCCACTACAAATTATTCCGTGACTAATTACTAGGACAGGCTGTCACACTCATAAAATAAATGGCCACAAAACATGCTAGGTAACGCCGGTAGAAGGCTGAGGTGCTGGATGAGAGATCTCTTCGCCTGACAACTAATGTCTCTTTCACGAAAGAAGATGAGGCTGGACAATGCTCCCCCACAGATCCCTTCTGATATTTCCATTAATGTTATTCATTAATATAATCCATTGATTGTTAATATAAATATTGACTGGTGTTAAAAACGATTTATCTATAAACATTTTTATTTTTCCTTCATATATGAAGTTCTTACGAAATTTAATGTCATTGCATCAATACATAACTACGATGCTGAATCACGTTGTTCTAGAAGATGTTTCTTTTATGGAGCAATTTTCTTCAGTGTGGTTACCAAGTACAATCTGATCTTCATTACTTAGAGGTTTCTTATTTATTATTTAATTAGGGTAGGGTATATGTAAAATTTAAACGATTGCCTAGACAAACAATCAAATAATAACATATAAAAAAAATCAAATTATGGTAAATGCATTAAATCAAATCGAAACATGTTCAGATTGATAAAAATTAGATTAAATTAGTTTCATTCCAGAAGAAGACTTTTTTATTTTGTATATTTTTTATAACGAAATGGAAAATGTGATTTAGTATTGTAGTAGTTACATAGTGATGTAATGGCATAAAATTGCGTAAAGAACTCTTTATATGACGGAAAAATAAAATTATTCATTAGCACAACAGCCAGTATTGTAATAAGTCTGTGAAAATAAGAAAAATTATTTTTTTCGGTTTACCTCTATTTCACAAATGGACATAGGAGTTAATTAGAACCATGTAAGATTGTTTAATTGAAACAAAAAAGAAAAGCCTATTGTATTTCCATCTACATGACATGGCAGTATCATCCCTCTTTTCTAGCTCTATGGAACTATTGATCATGATAGTATCAAATGGATGGAATTTTATGGAAAGGTGGTGAATCCCAATTTAAAAACTGACTAAAATTACATTAAATGTCATAAAAATAATAATACATTAAATAAAAAATAATTGGGAGGATGCAAAACCCAAGTGGTTTCATTACTAGACGGCTCAAGATTGTATAAACTACGGATGTCAAGACTTGCATTTTAAAACTCAAAATTTTACTATTTTCAAGACAAATCGTAATTCTTGACAAAAGCTTCTTAGGTCCTATGATTGCCATGAAATAATTATAAAATCTAACTAAGCCCGAATGAAAAAATAGAAGAGTTAAATGCAAAAGTATATTAGTTATACCAATTCTTTACATATAGTAACTAAAATTATTAAGCATTAGTAACTATTTCACCTTAATTTTTATTTAAAATATCGATTTTTTTTTTACCAGTTCTGGTCTTAGTCTTGCAACAGTGAGGCGGTCTTAGTCTTAGGCACTTTGCAAGACCTATAGTTTGGGCAACACTATTTTGTAACCATTAGTATATTCGACATACTTCCTGTAATTAAGAAATAGCAACCCTCCTCTTACCTTAAAAATTCGCCTTATACTTATAGGGCCTTGAGTTCAGTACTATGCGAGGAAGTACTGTTAAAACGGTTGTGTTATGTAAGGATGTGATTGGATTATCTAAAAATTACGCTCAACTTCCCCTTAATTAATTATTTAATTAGTTGTACCCACTTTATAGAGGCTGATTGTGCCCCAGGGGGATCTCACGACTCTTGGGTATATCCACAGCTAACGAAAATAAAAATATGATGAAAATCATATTCGTTATTATTATTATACTTAATTTATTATTTATATTTAACTTATTACTTTTATATGCTACACGATGATTTAATTCTTTAAAAAATAACTGTTTTTTTCGGAGGATTGACAATGCAAATTCCGGTCCTGAGCAAACGAGAATGATGAGAGTGTGAGAGTTCCCAATAGGGAATACTAGTTAGATCTTATTATAATTGGCATTGCTACGTAAATAAATATGTCTAGATGCATTGCTATTTCGTAAAATGAGCATATCTATACGTCCTTGAAAAATCAATATTAATGAAATGGATTGACATATCGTCAACCCCCTTAAACAAAAATAGACAGCTACACCTGTTATACGAATATTGAGGAGGGAGCGAGCAGTCGTTACGAATTTAGGAACGAGCGGTCCGCTAGCCAGTCCAGTTTATCTGGCGCCTGCACCGGTTCTCTCCCTTGCCTTCCACTTGCCATTTTTCTTCTTTTTTTTCCCTGTGCAAAATTACATTTTTGCTCTGTTGATTTTTCATATTTTAGTTACCAAGTTCTATGGTTGGCCCGTTGAGATTTTTATCTATCCTGGTAATGATAAATTCAGTAAGTTAAAATATAAATTATGTTTAAACTAGCATACTTCAGCGATAACTCTCGATAGATT